ATTATGCATATAGTTTGAAAAGGTGTGAAAATGGTCCAAAATAGGTCAAAACCATAGGCTATAGCCCATGCTTTTTGCCCAAAAATGACCTATTTTGCATTCTTCATATATTATGCATATAGTTTGAAAAGGTGCTAAAATGCTTAGATTTAAATAAAACTGTTTTTATTTCATAGAATATGGGAATCAATGAATGCTTTGTAAGGGTGAAAATAATTCTTTCATGGATCAGTTTGCAAGGTTAACTATAGAACAAGAGCTAAATACTATACTTCTCCCATCTGAGCTATCACATGAGTCCCTCCCAAGTTTTTGCCACTTCTTACAGGGTTCATGCTGAGATAACAAGTTAAAATTTAAGGACTATTCAAGGAGTATACAAGGACCCAAAAATGAATTTTCAAGGAGTATGTTCAGCTAAATATGCCAAGGTTTTACACAATGGTTGCACATGGCCGACTTTCATATTTTCTGATCTTTCTGACTAGACTAGATCTATTTCAGAACCATGCAAGTAATGATCAAAACAAAAATCCAAGTAGTTTTCAAGGAATTTAGCTAAGATCATAAAACTCAAGGGCTTTTCAAGTGCCCTTGAAAACGTGAATTAAATTCAAGGAGTTTTCAAGGAGTTTAAGGAGTAGCACGAACCCTGTTCTTAGTTTGTAACCAATCTCAAGAGAATGAAATAATATATGGCTGCCACATGGGTTTATAGTAAAGAAAACAAAACAAGTTGTAAAATTTAACTGATATGGAGTTTTCAATGTGAAAATCAAGAATAGTACAGATGGCACTTGAGCGTGCTGCATCATAGATCACATGGCTAAGAATAATGGCTGCTCAATGGCAGGATACAATATTTTGGCACATCATACCAGTTAATGTGAATGGTCAAGTGGACCAACCTAATAGGCATTTGGCTGGACAAGTGTATATTTTGGACAGATATTGTTCTCTAAGGAGCCATTATTTTTACCCTGCATGACGTTAAAGGAGTCACCCTATCTTTCGTCAATTCTTACAAGACTGAAAAGGAATACGAAGGAAACCCAGTTATTTTCAAGCAGAGGATAATGTACATGAAGGAATAATGTTGCTATTTCACATGCTAATACAGTCCCTTTTTAAATGTTCTATTGTTTAACTAACTGGAGCAATATCATAATGCTATATGCTATATATATTGCCAATATTATTAAACCATTGATCGTTGAGTATAAAAACCTATACAACATCTAAACCTAATTTCATGCAGAAGATTATTTCCAACTTCACATGGGCTCATAAATTTCCTGGTGCTGATTGGAATTTAGCTTCGTGCTGCTGTCAATCAAAGTATGATCACTTGGTAGGTCTTGAATTTTTTGACTGGTAACAGGAAAAGCTGAATTCCAACAGATTCTTCAAAAGAGCCAATGCTTTTTAATATTGAAAATTACAGTAGAGACAATAGTAAACTAGAATACACGGTTTTTCATATTTTGCAAACTTAGTTGTTGCGAGCTGCACTCTGAAATTTAATTTCTCACTACCATCAATAAAAAATAATATATATAATAATATTTATATTCTTGACTGACTGCAGTAAAAAAACGATTTCACAACTAGCTGTTGAAATGTCAGAGTTTGCAGAATATGGAAAAAACACAGTAAGTTAGGCAGAGCAGTTAGCTTCAGCAACCTGAAAAATACTGCAGCACAATATCTTTGGTAATGAGGAATTGCTTGATCCAAAATGCTGTTTTTCACAGTCACAGCATGAAACCACATCAACTCTTACTGGCCTTGGCGAAAATCAAAATTTGTTGCGAATGAATTCTCTCCTTTTACCATTGTGAATAAAAGGACAGAAATATCTTGATGAAGAAGGTAACAATAAAAGCCATGTTGTTTAAGGAAGGAAAGTTGAATATTGTCTGTGAGGAATCATCCATTGTAAGCATAGTCTGCTTTGTTATGCATCACTAACTTGCTGTCCACAAAGTAAAAACTATCTGACTTGGTTTCAAAAGGATGGTCTATCATTTCTTGTACTGCATATGGAAGGAGAAAAAATGTTAAAATATTAAAGGCAACATGGGAAAAAGAAGTGGGGATGGGAAAAGAGGGATAAATAAGATAGAGAGCTACTGAAAGAAAAAGAAAATATCATTTGAAAGATTGGAAATCCCTAGTGAAAAAAATGTAAATCGCTAGAAAAAATGGGTTAAAGGCTGTGAGATGGGATAGATAAAAAATGGGAAAAGGAATGTGGTCTGAGGAGAAGAGTCAATAGTAAAATGGGAAGCACTGGTGAAAACATAGGAAAAGAGTACTCATTATTACAGTTATATTGGCAAACATGCTGTTACAGTAAACCTTCAAAAAGTAAGTTGAAGAAAGCCTGCTGGAAATAATAATTTCTACTGAGTTATTATATGCAAAGAAACATCTTCCTATCTGGAAATAATCATTTCCATTCATGGTAAACAAATTATTCAAATTGTACTAATAATAAAAATATTGTTGAATCTGCAAGCTGAAAATGTCATCTTATGCCATCATGAAAATGGATAAATATTCTATCTAAAGGTAATCAAATTTTGTTCATGAAAGACAAAGTAAATACTGTAAAATCATGTTTATGGCTAAAGAAAATATTTTCTTGATTCTGATTGGCTAACATTTTGTCTTAGAACACATGGTGGTAACCAGAATATTTTTCATTATTCTATCAGTACTGTATGCATGTTTTCTAATATAGGGAAGAATTATTATACAGCCTGTTGCCTGCGTTTCATAACCTGGGCTTTCAACTAGTTCTATCAGTATTGTACGCACTATTTATTATATAGAAAAGAATTATACAGCCTGTCGCCTGCATTTCATGACCTGTGCTTTTAACTAGTTCTGTCAGTATTGTACGCACTATTCATAATATAGGGAAGAATTATACAGGAAGAACTTTCAAATTAACACATGTCAATAACCTCACATGTCAATAACCCACTGGATTTGATAACATTATTATTGATATAATTTAACACAAATAAATCAAATGCATACAGTTGATATGATTTTATGTCTACAGGACTAGAATTTATTAAGTCTTCGTTACTATCTAGTAAAGCTCAATTTACAATTTAGAGTGATCATATTTTTGAGTTATCAGAGAAAAAATAATATTCAAAAAAGGTTACTACAATGTCAAAGTTCATAATATCAAAACAATATTTTTTATTATTTATTAATGGAAACAGGGATACGTTGTACGAAGGGAGGATAGTGCTATCCGATGGATAAATCCTTATCCAGTGAATAAAGTGATGCTGTTATCCAATAAATTTATCCACTGGATAAGAATTATCTGGAACAACACATTATGCAGAAAAAAGGGATAAATTATATGGGAAATTAGATTGGATGTAATGAGCTTCACATTTTTATGTTTTTCTTGTTCGTGACTCTCTTGTGAAAGATAGACCTTTTTAGGTTGGGTGTACAGAGCACATATCATTCCCCTGAGTAACATTTCTTTCTTTAACAGTTGCACTTAAGAAGCAATATAATTCTCAATTGYGACTTTTATAAAAACAGACCTTTTAAGTTTGGGCATAATGTTTTGAATTCTAATTTCAGACCATTTGGTTTTCCTCTGAGAACCATTTATTATGTTTAATTGATGTGCACGAAAACACACATATATATGGTTACAACTCAATTTATCCATCAATTTGATTGATACTGGAAGCTGATGAGAAATAGATTGTTGACTTGAAAAGGAATCTAGAAATTTGTGACCTAATCAATTCATATTGATTGGATGTGATTGCAGTGGATTGTTATTGATGATGATGATTGTTATGATTGATTTCAATCAGTGATATACTTTTTTTGTGACTATCATTTGGTCATGGATTGACCCAAAATAACTGAATCAATCATGGTAACTTATCTCTCCATTGATATTGATTGGATTTCCAATCATAATTTTACAGTCAGAGGACATGAAGCGTGGCCCCCTAGACTGCCAACTTCAGGTCATTACTGGATTTTTGGTTGTTTCAATCTTCCATCAATGAATCAAAATTAAATTCAAATTTCAAAGAGCTGCGACAAACATGTATGACTCAATGACTTTGTATTAATTTTATCAATATTATTATTGGTTGCAGGTGGTTGTTGGAATGTAGTTGGGCTTATCGTTGATTGGCTAATTTTGCTTCTTTCGACGGCTCTTTTTTTTTACACTTCCGAGATTTGAATTTATTTTTGAATACATTACAAGATTGAAAATGAAAAAAGAATTGAAAAATCCAATAAATGAACTAAAAAATGCAGTCTAGGGGGCATTTTCTTATGATTTCTGTTATTTTATATCATACAACCTGTTTTATTTTATTTCCAATCCGATTTAAGTGGTACCTTATATTAGTAGTTTTAACAACATAAGAGGCTTACAGACGTAATGTCACTTATGATACAAAACCTTGATCTATCTTACCACTTGTTATATGTAAAACGAATATAAGAAAACACTTAGGCAGGAATTTTCCAATATCAAGCATTTGACACAGGGATATTTTAGGCAAGGAAGGTTAGACAAAATAACAAATTCAACTTGAAGTCATATTATCGTCATTAAGCCATTACCAAAGAAACGTCAAATGGTAATAATGAATAAATCAAGTTTTAATTTGTCAAAATTATTTCAAAACTGTGACTACTAAGTGTTCTTTAGGTACGAAATCGTAAGGGTATTTAAATCTAAATTTTTTATTATGAAGGCTTTTGGTTAATTAATATAACAACCTGGTTACATTAGGTAATGTTTTCTTTATCGATCACAGAAAAATTGACCACCAAATTGAATAGAAAAATAATACGAAAAACATATATTTTCCTCAAAAAAATTAAACCGTATTTTTTTTTGAATTTGTAGTAGTAAAGTTACTATATATTTCATATATTTGTGGGTTTAGATCTGGTGGAATAAATGATATAAAAATTGGTTAAAATCGAGAAAGGGCAGATGTAAGTTTAGTATCATATTTATCTCACCTTGATCGGGAGTTAGGGATGGAAATTCGTAGATGTGTTCACAAGTATTCTTACTGTTAGGGATACAAAAACCAAAGTCAAAATCGAAGCTTTTAAGAAGACGATCCCGAAAATAATGTCGTTCAACCATCCTGAAGTTCTGTATTGGCTTATCGCCGACGGTAAACTCTACCCTAAAATAAACAAATAAAGAAGGAAGACGATGAATGGAGAGTCGTTGTGGAGTAACATGTGTTGAGTGAAGATGACGGACAGGTTATTCTTCACCAAAACAACCCAAGATCACATTGCTGGAATCTTTCTATCCGAGTTATTCTATTCTATTGCTACTTACGTTGCTCCCACGGTTTTTAATCGCAGAAATTCTGATGTAAACTTGTATCGTACGAAGCGACCTGCGTTAGGATCATCTTCATTTTCTATCACCTCGTCCTCCAAGTTGTCCGGTTTTGCGATTTCGAAAAGAACCTCGCCAGTCTCCATGTCTCGTATTTTGAACCTCGTAAAGTCTATGTTGAAAACATTAGCTTGTGGTTCACACAAATAATCTGAAAGAAAAGTTGAGATAACGAGTCAAGTAAAGTTTGTTTGCATTGGTCCATGAAGGCTAGGTATTTTGACGTTCAACGTGTAACTCAAAATCCAATTAAAACACAGCAACAACTAAAAGAAATTCAGTACAAAATACTAACTGTCTGTGGACTTTGTGAGTTTGAGTACATCTTCAGGTGAAACAGAACCCTTTTTAAGAAGTTCTTCCTCCGTTATCGTCTTTTTAGCTTTTGCTTGTCGAGCGAGAAATCCTCCTCCTTTCTTCTTGGACGCGGAACGACTGCCATCTTCACCCGAACTAGCCGAGGATTTCTTACTCATATCTAAAGTACAAAAAACTCACAGGCCCTAAATGAATGATAAATAGTTCGAGAGGCACTCGGGGACTAGATTGTTGGTTTAAAGGAGAAAAAATGCCAAATGATCTCGTTCTTTCTTTGCTCTTCTTTCATGCAAACATTAAAATGGACGCTTTGATCGACCGCGAAGGAAAGTCTACAAGGTCAGCGGCAGTATGTTACCAACCGTCGTTATGACAACGGTAGTGAATACAAAAGTGTTGAAAGTGTTTACTTGTAGTAAATAAACCAAAAAATATGGGTATAGTTAAAGTATTCATAGATGGTAAAAGAGCACCATGTTGGTCAAAAAGCCATATATGTTAAGCTATCACAAAATTCTTCACTTGAAAATCTACAAAATTATTACATAACTGCACATATATGAATTAATGCACATATATGCCTATTAATGCACATATATGAATGGTTGCAATCATAATTAATAACTATATTAATTATACAGCTTCTCATTAATTCCATATAGTTAACTGTCCAATTATTTTCTTAATTAACTACTGTTGCAATCAAACAGGTTGTCATCAGCCACATGTTTAAGGAAAAAGCTATTTCATACCAATAAATTATTTTATATAATTATTTATTATTAGTGTTTAAGTGAAAAAATTGCATGTCATAAAAGAGGTGATCCGATTCAGAACAGCATCTACACTTTTGACAATTTCTTATGACCTGTTTTTACGAGCTTATTTAATGAGTATGACTAATAATATAGTTCTGAATGAATTCATCATGGTTTATTTGTGTTGTTTTCTAGAGATATTCATTAATTACCTGCATAATAATATATAACCTGTTTTTAAATCAATCATTGGCAGAGATGTCCATATTGACCATCCATGCCAAAGGTGCAGGTGTGAGGTGTAACTACACTTAATCCAGCATGTGTGGTAGCCCTAGGGACTGAGTAAGGCAGGCTACATTTATCAAGGCTGTGCTGCCTATTAACATATTGTCATGCAACTTTTTTCACGTCATAATGTTTTTCAGATTGCACAAAAGTGTTATAAAAATGTTTTTAAGTGTTGAATGTAGGGAGCAATTGTTCAGTCTCAGCTTATGCTCATTCTGCAGTCACAACTGGTCTTCTGCAAAACATTCTTGCAATTTTTGATGAAAACTTCAGTTAGTCTCTGGAATTACTCTTCGTTAACCAAATGGGTGTTTTACCACAATAATTCTAAAATTTTCCATCCTTAGGGAGTTAAGTAGTAATAACAGACCCCTTGCACATTTTTTAATATGGAGTCAAAACAAAAGAATTTCCTTCTTTTCAGAAATGAACCTTTTTGATATTAATGTTAACTGTTTTGACARCCCTCAGGTAGAGATTGAATGCAGGGTTCTATACTCTAAGTGGATAAGCTGACCATAAACATTAAATATCTCAACGATAACTTAGATTTTAAGCCATCTGAGTTTTGTGCACCTGTCTGTGAGAACTTGAAAGAGAGAGTATCACTGGTGGAAAAAAAAAAAAAAAAAAAAAAAAAAAAAACCCAAGATGGCTGGAAATCTGGCATGAGCCAACAGTTATTCCAGCTATTTTCTTTTTGCTATTTCAACCAAAAACCCACCATTCTTTTATTACTTCCTTCTCAAGGGAGTGACCGTAAATCATTGACTACTTTATGGCACTTTTAACTATTTTGTATTCCTCTATTGGTGGGCTACCTGTGCCTATGATTTTTCTAAGGGGCTTGTGAAAAAGATGTGAAAAACGGTGAAGTTTTGGCAGACACTCTCCTTCTTTTTCTCTCCTCTTTTTTCAATCTTTCTCTCCTGACAACTTTCACAAGAAACCCAGAAAAGACAGAATGTAGGAGGCTGAGCAGAACGAATGAAAAAATGAAAACGAAAAAAAGAACAGTACTCCACTTTACACATCATATTTATTAGAACACAAAAAGAAGACATGCAGGCAGTAGAAATAACAGAAAACTGGAATCTAAAGATGTCAAAATTAATGAATATAAGTCTTGACTTCATCTTACAAATAAGAGAATAAGCCATTATAGCATAATTTACTATAACTACAAGAATCCTTTGCAGACTTCTTTTTATTCAGTTAATTAGCACCAATTGTCTTACTACTCTCATGAGAAAATGAAAATTTGACAAAGTACCAAGACATGCAAAGCATTTTGGTAGTGTTAGTAAAAATAAATGTCTGCCATCGTACAAATTGCTTATTTTACAAATTTTTTCATGTTGTGTGCTCGCAGTCCCAGTTCAGAAACCAATTTTTCCAAGCATAGAAAAAGCTTTTAAAAAGCATTGATGTTTAGGAATGCATTAGATTCAATACTGGAAAAGAATTTGGCACCTGATCTTGACCACAGGACATATTTGTGGGGATTGGCAGGACACGAGAGAAGTGTTAGAAGCACAAAAGCATAGGATAGAAATTCTCTATGCTTCTCGGGTGTTCAACCAATCCCCAAGTGCTTTAAAACATGATAACACCTACAGTTATTTGGCTATTAAAGTTGTTGTTTCCTTAAGTCCAGCTGGAGCTTAAAAGGGTTGTTGTTCTTACAGCTCAATGTGCAAAACTATGACAACATATATTTTAATGTATTTGCATACTTATGTGCACAGGCGTTTGTGAGTTAAACTGACACATTTCAATGCGAATCTGGCTTGTTTTACCAAATAAGACATGATAACCCTCATTTGACAGCAAAAAGCTTGTGCATAGAAGTATGGGAATACATAAAATGTGGTCATACTTTTGCGCGTTGCGCTGTAACTGGTTGGAAAATGTAAAAGTTTGAAGGAAATTAATTTGCTTTGCTACATGAATGAGATTTGACGCAGGTTTTATACATTGATTTCATGTGCAGTGATAACTCAGGACTTTGGAATCACAGTAGAACATTTAGTAAGTGGTCACCTACAAGCAACCAACCTCTATTTCTTTGCAATAATTTATGACTATGACAGGTTACCAAGGTTACAGGTTACAAGGCAGTTGCTACGTCTAATAGACCTTTAACTTGGTTGAAGGTTTTCCATTTTAGACCATATTTTGTTAAAGTGGTATCGATATTCATGAGTCTTCTCATGCACAGCCATTAGACAAAGAGATAATACTCTGGGGAATGACACGTGGTCTGAAATGGTAATAATTTATGCCCAAGCTAATAGAAGTCTAATAGAAGTTCAACCATGTTCACCTAATGTCTACCCACTGCTTGGTAAATAGATTTTAAAAACCTGTACAGTTATGCATATAAACATGCTGTCTGTTTGATTAGAAGTTGATAAAAATACTAAAATGTCCTGTTTACACAGCTATCCAGATGGGAGTTTATGAAGAAAAGAATTTGAGGTGACGATCCATACTAGAAGAGATGACAGAACCGGCATGTCTACCAAACTTAACTCCTGTTACTAGACCAGTGTGATCTGAAAGACAATGGTTTAGACAATCAGAATAAATATTTAATGCAATATGAGACACATAAGATAGCACTTGACCAAAATAAAAAAGGATCTGCGAGACAGAAAAAAAATTATCTATTATACTACACAAACGAAAGCTTTGTCCAACTGGATCAAAACACTAATATAAATGGAGTGAAAAAAATAAGCTTGGCTGCTTGAAATAGCTTTCCAAACCATTTAAATTTTGTTGGAAGAAAATCAAAGCAAAGGTTGGACAAAAGTTAAAAATTGGAAATATTATTCCCAAATACACAGTTGTATGGACCCATCTCACTCAATTCCAAGGGGGAAAACTTTTGTTTTGAAGGGTCCATACTAATTAATGATTAATTATTTGGGAAATTGTTAATTATTTAGGAAATAATATGCCAAATACACAGAGGTATGGACCTATCTTTAGTTCCATGAGGGAAAAAACCCTTCGTTATAAGGGTCCAGAGTTAGCTTTGATTAGACTTTTGTTTGTGAGCAAAACTTACCGTTAAAACTGTTCAGCAACTCCCATTGCTTTACCAAGTATATCCTGGAAGAAAAAATAAAAAATAATGAATTTGTGATCTAAGAGAACTCTTTACTTTTAACGACACAACAACATCAATAAGATGTGAAACATTACGACATGTAGCCAAGCTATATGTTCTGTTTCAGGAAGCAATTTAAACACTTACTGTATATCAGTTCCTCCTACGGCCAAGTAAGTACCACTCTGGTCAAAACTGAGTGATTTCACCTGTGAAAAAGAAAGATGGAAAATATGAATGAATGAGCAAATAAACAAAAAAATCATTTACAAATTATAAAGTTGAAAAATCTTGAGAACTGATCCAGGAACTAACTTCAAAGGGGTACAGTAAGTGTAAACTCTGATACACCTTTCTAGCTTCAGCATGGTTTATTTCTTCAGACCATGTGTTATTCATTCCCTAGTGTATCATTTCTTTGTTTAACACATGAATATGGATACAACTCCATTCTCAAGGGAATAATACATGGTCTGAAATTGGAACAATTATATTATGCCTAGGTGAATTAGGTCCATAAGTCGTACCTCAAATCTATCCTCAAGTGTGATGGTCTTGAAATTTTTAAGTTTTCTCAAATCCCATAACTTAACGACTGAATCATCTGCTGAAGTAGCTAAGTAGTAACTGTAAAAATAAGGCATTGTGTTAGATGATTGCAAGTCATGCATTAAACACACTGAAAAACTTCTTCAATTAGATTAAATTGTAAAACGAAATATGAGTTGATATGAGTTTGCTGATATAGTAAGCGCAGAGCCAACAGTCACAGTTGCAATTAGAATTTAACTTGTCGTAATGGAATAAAGCTAATCAAAGCAACTAATTCACAGATCAAAGTGGAATTTAGAGTGTTATGTTTTTGGAAAGTAGGAAAACTGGAGAACCTGAAGAAGAATCAAACAGAGGTCCAACAAACTCTATTCACTAGTAATGCCAATTCCAGGAATTGACCCTGAGACCACAGGGGTGTAAGGTAGAGGCGCTACTGCTATACAACCCTTGATACCCAAAAATGTCTATAACATCAAATGTAATTGTACCCATTTTCAGAGAAGCTGATGTCTTTTATTGGTCCAGAGTGTCCAGGGAACTTGGCTACGTTAGCCCTCTCCTTGAGATCCCAGATCTTGATTAAGCTGGAGAAGAAAGAAAGAAAAAATGAATCAGAAAAAATGCAATTAGAAAAGGAAGTTAACGAATCTAAAAAAATTAACTCAAATCATAGATGATGCTGATAGTTTTGTGGCATTTTCTGAAGTCTATACTAACACAACTTAGTACAGGTATGAGTATGCAAGAATAAGACCCTCACCTATCAGAAGTTCCAGTACCGAAGATAAGACCATCAGGATGAAACTGGGCACAAGTTAGACCTAAGGAAAAAAATAGTAATAATAAAGTTAAAAGAACCATGGACGGCAAAGTGGAAATGGTCCCAGAACTAGTTAATGAGAAATATCATCTGTTAAATTTTCCTAAACCAATATGGACAGCTGTCCTCTCACCTTGATTGACAGATGGGTCGGATAGACACTTAGTCAAGACACGTCCAGTATGTATATCAGAGAATGCCCAGTGCTATATCGAACAGAAATATGAATCATAGTTAGCTACATGGTGCTTAAAATGCAAGGGAAATTTTTCTTGTGATCAGTTTCTGTAAATAGTAATAAAAAATAATCCTAAATATTTGGATTTTTACCTGGTCAGCAGAACAACTCAACAAGAAATCACCTGAAAATAAAAGAAGGAAATAATCAAAAAGTGCAATAAAGGGAAAGAATTTTCTCATTCTTGATTAGCTTAAATCAAAAAGCCTTTAGTGATTCACTTGTAGCCAAGTGAACTTGAACAAACATTTTTCAGTTATACTTTATAGTTGAGTATGCACTAGTGTGTTTTGAAAATAAGATGATTGTATCATGAGCAGAGAGACAAGAGAGATTGTTGTGTTGTGAAGACAAACAGAAACTGGGTTTTTAAATTTTGTAGAGTCGGTTTTATTTACTGATGATATAACTCCTTCGCCAGAGTTGAAGAATCTAAAATGTACTTGATTTTCATTGTTTAATGAAGTTAATATGCATGTTTTTCCTGAGCCGTATAATGGTCACACACTCTACATATAAAACTTCTCAAAAGTGAATGAATTTTTCCCTTACCAGTAGCATGAAGACTGAGCCCAGTGACAGCTTGGTCATGTGCCTGGAATGAAAATCAAATAACGTTAATGATTATATGTATCTATATGTGTATAACTTTATGTAGATTATGATGTCATACCATGTGGAAACCTTCCTGTCCCTCCCCTTACCTTGATAATGTGAGCGCACGATGCATTGGATATAGACCAGACTCTAATACTGCTATCAGCTGATCCTGTAATACCAATTTCCTGAATAAAGACAAATACATAACCTTTGTGAATGTTTCTAGCAATTATTTATGGTGACATATTTTTTAGCACTAATCAGTGGACTTTTATATAGAGCTAACATCAAGGTCCAACTTTTCAAATATTAGTCTTATTTTTTAATGTATTATTTGAGTTAAGTATTATCATCATCATCATCATTGTGTCGTCGTCTGTTGTTGTTGTTGCTGCCTTATTGTTGCATTGTTGTTCTTGCTGCGTCGTTGCAGTCGTGTTGTCATCATCATTGTTAATATTATTTTAACCAAAACAACTACCAGTATATTTCTTAAACCTTGAAGCTACATTTATTTCAGAATAAGATCATTACCTCTGTAGGATGGTAGATAACATTGGTGACCTTTTTGGTGTGTCCCTTGAGAGTTGCAACAACCTGTAGAAGTCAAGGAGATCTTAGTATATAATGTACATAACAATAACACTATTAGTGAATTATATGAGCTTCAAACACTGTCCACAGGGCTTAAAATAACTGCCAGTCATTGGACAAAACCTGGCCAGGATTAGAACTTGTTAGGCCAAATCTTTACGTATATCAATACTCATTATATGACAAGACTATTGTAGAAAATTACCTGTTCTGCGTCTTTGTGAAATACAACAGCACTTTTATCAAGTCCACCTGAAAAAAATTAGGAAATCTTGATTTATTTCAGGATTTTAAGATGGTACAAGAATGCAGCACTCTGCATAATCAAGTTAAAGAAGTTAAGTTGATGGCACTCCTCAAACAAACTCATATGTGTAGTGCTTATCCCATCAAATCACCAAGATAATGCACATGCAGATGTAGGTTTGTCACAGTCCCGTAAAATATAATCTATGATAGGAGAACAAACCTGTCAACACTTTAGATGTATCTGAAAGTTGAACATCAAGCGCAAGGATTCCAGGAGTGCTTGCACTATGAAGACCCTGGAAAAACAACAACAATAACAACACAATCAACAACAGATCACCATGGAAACAAGAAGCAGAAACATCAAGATAGATTGCTAAAGGGCCAACTCACTGGATAAGTAGCAACTTGATGATAGCTTCTGATTTCATCTGGTGTTGTGAGGTCTTCTGGCATTTTCTTTCCTCTCTATAAATCACAAACATTGAGAACAACAAAAACTTTGTAAGAAAAAGAGTGATCCCAAGCAAAGTATATTACAGTGGAACCTCTTTAATATGGAGGCCCGAAGAAAAAAGTGTCAGTTATATAAATGTGTACTTCATATAGAGGTCAGGTCTATGAAACAAAAGAATGCATGGTGCTTTTGCCTGGATCTAATCATCTGTCCGTAATATAGAGCTGTTCATAATACAGAGATGCCTGTAAGGAGAGATCCTACTGTATCACAAATATAACAAAAAGAGAGCACATACCTTTTTACGCTCCGCTGTAAGGAGAGTTGCTTTTTTTTGCAACTAAAATCAAAGAAAACGTTCAATTATTAAACTGTGTATAGCAATCATACAATATCTTATTTGGCAACTCTTAAAAATAATAAGAAGATAAATACAATATATTTTCAATTACCTTTTGTAGCACTTCCTCTGACATGCCAGCTTCTCCTTCAGGCTAAGAAAAACATAGTAATATTAACATTTTTTTCAGACTAAAAAAACAGTTATATTAACTTAATTACAGTATTATAAAGCTCCCAAAGCACTATTTATACATGAAAAAAATCAACAGCATGGGAAAAAATGAGCTATAAAAATAGTGCCATGATCTGAATCACTGCTTGTTTGGAGTGAAAAACAAACCAGAAATATTATTTAATAGTGCTCACAATATTTTCTGTGACATTATCAAGGACTTATGTTGTTATTAAATTGTTAAATTAGGGAGTCATTTTTGAAATCTGAATAGGATTAGTGGCAAGAAAGAAGTTTTAATTTGGATTTCTGGCCAGATTCTTGAGTCAAGATAACCCCTTTGTTTAGCTCAATGAAGTCATATCAATAATTTTGGTGCATTTGTGAACTCTGCACTGACTAGGCAATAACTTGAAATTAATTTTTTCAAATCAATTTATTTATATTTCAGTTATTAAAGATTATCTTAAGAGGGTAAACTTAACACACGACAGTAACAGATGAATGCTAACCTCAGCAGCAGATACTTCCATCTTTTCTTCAGCCTAAAAATCATAAAAATGAGTCATGTGAATTCTTTAAAATATTGAAACACTGATTTATATTTATAGTTTTTAGCTAGTTATCTCTTCATATTTATAAGAGATTTACACATCACAAAACATTATAGTCAAAGATTCAAAAGTCACTTACTGGCATAGATGCCGCAGGAGTAGGTGTGATTGGAGTGACGGCAATACCAGCTTGTGGTTTCAGAGTGGCCAAAGCTTAAAAACAAGAATTTTTTTTAAGTCACAAAAATAGTTTGTGATATTTTATCCTAGTTGGGTTTCCTGTGGTAAATACACCACAGGTAGCCCAATTATAGACAAAATTTTAAGTGCAAGAAGTGACTTGACATTACAAAAGTATTTTATAAAATTTGAATTCAAACCTTCACGGGCAGCAGTAACTTCCTTGGTCAACCTAGCAATCACACGGCAAGCAGCATCATGTTGATACAAGGCATGAGAAAGTTCTAAAAAAGGTCAAAATCATTCAGGTAAACCATGAAAAATTTGCCTTCCATGCTTCATCTAGAATTATCTACATATTCTTACTAGTTTTAAACAGAAATGTTTATTCAAGACACTAGGCATGGGTGGTATGCATGGATGGAAGGCTTTTCAACAGGGCTGTCTTTCACAGAGGTTTGGGTCATGCCTGGGGTTGCAGGAGATTAGATTTTTGACTAAACAGTATATATGTGAGTTGAGTTTGTTTGATGTTTTGTTCTTTTCCATACCAATAGGGACTTCTCTCTGTTTTTTGCTTTTCCTCCATTCATAAAAATAAATGTGAATTGACAGTTGTGTCATAAAAAGTGAATGTAGTGGTAGTGTGTGTGTGGAGCAAACCTCCATGTAGGAATGATGGTTGTAAAATATATAGACTATATATGACGACTTTGTCAATCATTACCTTGTCTAGCTGTTTGAAGCTGCTGTCGTAACGAGAATGTGTGCAACATGCATGCATCCTTAAAAGCAATATAAACAACATATAAATATAATAAATGAAGAAATACATCTTATATACAATAATATTGCTAAAACTTAAGTGGAGTTGTTTGTTAGTTCTCTCCCTGAAGGCTTTCTTTTTGTCTTTCAGTTTTCCTTTGTGCATGAAAATCACCAATTAAGGTTCTAACTTGATAAAGTCATTCAAGAGCTCATTCATTAAACCACAGGTAAACCAATTATTTACTTGTTCATAATTATTATTCTCACTAAGAAAAAAACCCGTGGGAAGCATGGGTGGCGTAGTGGTGTGAGCGCTCGCCTCTCATCAATGCGACCTGAGTTCAAGTCCCGCCGGGTTCAGTGTTGTATATGAGTAGAGTTGTTTGTTGGTTCTCTCCTGTGCTTCTAGGGTTTTTCGGGTTCTCCGGTGTTCCTCCCTCCGCAAAAACCAATTCCAAGTAAATTCCAATTTGATCACGGAATGAGGGCCACAGGTTTGTTAGCCACTGGTTATTAAGTGCTACCCTCGTAAAAAAAGGACTTTATTATTATTATTATCACTATAAACAAATACATTTGACTTACCCATTCATCTTGCAAGGTTTTTAAAATAGCAGGAATACTAGTTGCTGATGGTGGCCTTGGCTTAACGAGAGGACTCACTAAAGTATCAAGGAAACTATTAGCAAGGAATCATTGATGACTTCAAGTGACTGCCTGGAAACAATACTAGTTTTGTGCCTTTGTTAAACTCTGATTGTGGAAGAATGGATATTCTTCAAAACTACAGATAACTATTAATGTTTATGGTACCTTTTATATCAATAAGCTGCTCCTCTGCTAGTGCTTCTCCAGTAATAGGATCTGTACCATTCTCAGCTATATACTTTTCTATCAGTCTTTTTTCAAAGACATGGCCAGATACAGGTGAAAGGCAGGCATGTTCGGGGACTTCGTTGCTAACTGATAGGAAAAAAGATAGGTATTTAGCAAACAAAGTTATGCTATAACATATCATGTACCATTTATGGGTCTTTCATGTAAAACATGCCTCCAAAAAAGTCTGTAAAAGTGGCATCTCTTTTTACAGTACAGCTCACGGGGATGTTAACATGTCTGCGCACGAATTCCGCGGGCAGTCACCGCGATGACTGAACTCAACTCAACTGTAACTAAGACTTTGATTTTGAAAAATATTTTTGCATTATTAAACTTTAAATGTTTGACATAATTAAATTTTTTGACCTTGAATTTCTAAACTCTCAATTTTGAGCTTACTTCCATAAATTTAAAATTGACAGAGAATAATAACAGGCTAAGTGATGGGAGGATTTATTTCAAGAGCAATTAATAATACATTAGTCTTATATATATATATATATATAGTTAACACCCTAATGAAACATGAAACTTTGCATTAGTACAAACATTTTTGTATAGTATTCAATCAAAATTTTATTATTCCATTTTCAATATTATCCTCTTAGAATCCTACATTTGATGTGACTAAATTCTACGAATGTATTATTTTTCAAAGTTTTGCTTTCCAAAAGCGTGATATAAGCTTAATCAACAAGCATTTGGTCATAAATAAATAAGAGTGTTATAGCTTTTGCAATACACACAAACACTGAAGTTTGACAGCTTTAAAAAATACTTCAATGTGCAGATCAAATCACAGCTCATTTATAAGCAACGATTACAAAAACACACTCTATTTAGACATCTCAAGCCGCATCTCAAGCAGAAATAAAAAAACATGTCAAAAAAGAAAAATTTCCAAATATCTTCCACGTGCAGTTAGTAACTCTAAAGAACCGTCATTAGCACGTGAATTTTGACGTTAATGACAAATGCAGACTCGCATATTTCAAGAATAAGATTTATCCATTCTTGGTGCTTCATAAAATCTATGTAAGATAATCACATTTAGGATTTACAAGGTTGAAAAGCGAAGGTAATAATCGACTTACTTGAGCAGTACATCGCCATCTTGGATTCTTTACCGCATGTGAGGAGTGAGGCATTATGGGCGTAGATCCCAGTGTCTCGCTCCTTTACCACAGGAAGCCCAGGTTCTGTATCTGTGTTGGCGTTAGCAAGCCATCCGGTGGCCCAGAGGTGCAATACGCAAACACAAATCCAAATACTAGTTCAAGTATAAGGGAAACTAGTGATATTTGTAGTTCAGTTGTGATATATTCGTAGTTCAGGTCGAGGGATACTCCTACTTCAGGTCAAGGGATATTCCTAGTTCAGGGTAAGGTATACTCCTAGTTCAGGTATAAGGGATACTCCTAGTTCAGGTCAAGGGATATTCCTAGTTNTATAAGGGATACTCCTAGTTCAGGTCAAGGGATATTCCTAGTTCAGGGTAAGGTATACTCCTAGTTCAGGTATAAGGGATACTCCTAGTTCAGGTAAGGACTACAGTCCTATTTCAGGTAAGGAAATACTCCTAGTTCACAAACCACTGCCGGATTAAATGCCCATCAGTTTTTAATTTTCGACGAGCTCCTCAACGGAAACTAAAAACAAACAAACAAACAAACAAACAAAAAATTGCAATTTTTTGTAGTAGGCATAAGTTTTAGGTCACCCATCCAGGTACTAACTTTCCTCAACCGGACTTGACTCAATGTCACGGATAAGGAAGCCCAAGTTTTTTCCACTGGACCACGGTTCCAGGTGAATCAGCATAACAATAGCTGTGAAAACAATGCATCAGATCGGATAGACTAGACTTTTTAGCATTAAATCTTTAACCGATTCCGTGCGTGGCAGAGATGCAAGGGATTAGCCGATATTGTCTGGGGGCCGGCTGGTCTCTCCCCTGATGCTTCGGCTAGAACATTTTCTTGCGTAATTCGTACACCCAAGGGCAGAAGGATTTAATCGCCGTCAGGTCCGAAGTCCATACGACGCCCCAGCTCTGCGGATTTCTCGGGGGTATGGCAAAGTAGAATCGATTATTTTTTTAAATTTTTAAGGATTGGTTCAAACCCCATCGTATCCAGATAACGTTTCCTTTTCTTTTCTTTTCTTTTTTTTACTCATCAATCAGATAAATCAAACGTATTTTTCTGATTTAAAATACCTCCTGGGAACAATCATCACAAGAAATTACTTATTTCCTTATTACTTGTTTGCAGCAAGTGTTCCCTGCCCAGCCATGGGCTTCTGGCCACTGTAGAGTAGTGTTCTTATCACGGATGAAGAGTTTTCAATGAAAATTCTTAAAGTTATCTGACGTGTTGTTTGTGTCGTTTTCTTATGATAATATAGCAGCTGATTTGAGACACAAATACTAAGAACATTTTTATATACTACCAAAAGTGAGCTTGGGCTACCTGTGCAGGGAAGAAAACCCACATGCAACTTGACCCAAAGATCGGGAAAGAATTAACAAACAACTCTACCGTCGCGATTCTGGGAATGTCAGAACCCCGATCACAGTGTTGACAGGCAGCACGTTAGGTTAGCAACTCACTGAAGCCACTCCAAGGGCGTAGCTTGCTCCCCCCAACGTGGCTTCAAAATGGCGGCTTTTTTAATTGTTTACAGTAATTTCTTATTTTTTGTTTTTTTTTTTTTTTTGTAAAAAAAACGTTAAATGCTGCGGGTCCTTTTATTTTCATATTTTTATAAAGTAAAACATAAGGCCGTTTTTTATTTGGTTCGGCGTTTCGCAGGGGACGCAAACAAAATGGCGGATTTTTTATATTTGACCCCCCCCCCCCTCCAAGGAAATTTTGGCTGCGCCCTCCCACCCCTGCTTCCTTATGATTGAATAATCCCCCTAAATAGAGCAAATATGAGGGATGGAATTACAACCATGCCTCAAGACAAGAAAAATATGGAAACTATTCGACACAGACCAGCAACCGCTTCCCACCCCTCCCCTGAGGACTTTCGGAGAACTATGTTTTGAATTTCCGTAAGTAAATACAAACTTCACCGTTTGTCTTTCAGCCAATCAGCGTGCGATAGATTATTTATAAAACATAAAAAGATTGCATTTCCTTTACATCAAATACGTTCAAATCTCGATAAGAAAACCTTGATCTTCAACTGACCTTGAATCGCCGGGAACCTTTTATCGCAATTCCCAATCAATTTTTCAATTATTTACGTCTCTCTCGTGGAGCTGGACAGTGTTTGGACTTTGGGGAAATTCCCACCGTCATAACCAGCGGGTTTTTTTAAGGAACTATTGATGTTCACTCATTTAAGACGCTACAAATCTTAACGTCGGTGACGTAAATAGGCTATCCAAGTAAGTATTTTCGATGATAGTTGCTGTGAGATGATTTACGAAAGAGGATTCTGAAGCTATCTGTTACTCACGTCACAAATACTTACATTGAATTCTTGCAGTTTGAATCTTCAATTTCGTCTGAGAAAGGGCCAAAGCCAGGACAGATTGATACACGTGTTGTGACTGCACATGTTGGACAGCGGCTCCATGCGATGAAAGGGAAAAAGGTAATGATTTGATACGATAAATGATTTGATTTCATTTGCCGGCGTTACTAGAATTAGCTGAACGAGTCGCGCCTATGACCTGACAACCCAGAGCCTATATATCAGTGTTTTTACTAATTTCGACCATTTGAGATTCAAAAAACTCGGATCCTTTTCAGCTGGTAAAGAAGGGATTGTATCACGTGTAATGTCAATAGTTTAAGTCCATTTGAGCTTTGAAATATTCTGGATGTGGGAATCGTATGGACAGGCTTGAGGTAGGCGGCCGATATTCACAACATGCTTCAAATGCCGTACATGCAAGCTGCAGAATCGATCTTGTTCAATTCTGTTGCATAATTCTTAAACTTACCATCCAAGCGCTTCTTATTTTTGCTTCCAGATATGTGCAAATTGAACACTGAATGTATTAATAAATTTAGTTGGTCAAAAAAGCCTTACTTAAAGGAATACGACCAAGTTTTACTTACCTCGAGCGAACGTTGCATTCATTCAGATAAATGTAGATACTCGAGTTCCGGAATTAATAAGATTTCAAGTGATAACCAACTCAACAATGTTTACAAAATAATATCAAAATAACAGAATAAATTCCTGTGACTAAGGAATTAAGGAACTCCATAAAATCCTAAAATGCTTGAAGCTTACATACTCTTTCTACTTTAATTCCCTGCTAATATTATGTTTGGTGCGCGATTTACATACAAACCGTTTTGTTTGGCTGTTCATTTACAAGTGTTTAAACCAAAGGACATTTTAAACTGTGCCATTTTGAGAGCCTTAGACTTTAATCGCTGATAGAGGTGAGGGGTGCCGATCAGATCTTGACTCAGTTTATTTTTCTTTTAAGTATGTATTTTATCTTGTTCAAAGCAAATGTGAGATGGAACAGACCAGAGGCAGTGGCAAATGTTTATGTTGTACTGAAATCTAAAACCGTCGTGAAAAAACTGTTACATTAAAAAAAACGGCAAATGAAACTAAATCTTACATTGATAAAGTGGTCTATTTTTAGGGCCACTTAGCCGGTCTGGACGCAGCGAGTACTTCCAAAATCTGTGCGTTTCGCACATTGACTATTATACATATCATGGTTTCCATAGCAACTACTTTAGTTCGCTGGTGTCTTTGAGGGGATAGATTAACATGGATATTGTAGACCATTTAACCCGAATCAACGTCGTTTTGCGGTTGCCTTCACTGACATTTCATAGTTTGGGATTTGGCTCACTTATTCTACAACTATGCATTCAATATTCTTTACAAACAACTCACATACCGTCGGACTTCAATCCGGAGAGTTAGGAACCGAGGTAAAGGCCGGAGGAAAGCCCCTGTGGCAAGGGAGGCTATATCACTGTAGAGTGGTAAAAGGCGAAACGTTTTTATCGCTATGTCACCCTTGCAAGAAGCGGCCGCTTGTAGCATAAATACAAACAGAACGATAGACAGTGTCCTGTACTTTAAGGTATGACTGCGATTAAATGCATGTAACACCGGTGCTGCTACTTTAAGCAATAATCCTTTCAACATGTATCACATTTCGAATGTAATCACAGCTGTTGCGAGTTTTAACACAGGCAGCCCAATTTCTTATTCTGTGGTGCTGTAGTATTTGTATGTTAACGGTAATATTTCGTAGCATGTAAAATTAGTTATACACAAAACGTAAGATTGGGCTTGCTGTGGTTTTAATTTTCGCAACTATTATGGTAAGACATGTTGTCACAATACCTGTCGGTACTTACGGCAACGGCGTCGCACTTTTCGTATTGCACAAAGGAAGCAAGTTGCGACAAACAATCCTGATTTCCTATTACAACAGTGCTTGTAAAAGATCTTTGTGTGTTGCGCGCTTACAAGAGCGTAACCAAGTACTACATTTGCGCAGATCAAAAAGAAATAAAAAATCTTGCGCGCAAAAATGAAAACGGAATATAAAAATGCTCTTGAAACGGTCCCGTTTGCATTTGTATCGACTTCCATTCTCTCGTATTTGAATGTATCGTAGTCTTTTATAAAGCATTAAACAAGTTTCCTTTTCGTCATGCATATGGAAAAATTTCAAATATTTTAAAAATTAGCAAACAGTCGGATATATCGAGTGCATTGTTCTAGCGCGTTATCATTTACATCCGATTGCGCTTCCCTGAAGAATGCGCAAGTAACATGCGCACAGGGGATTTTTTCATACATATCATACGCTCTATACTCTACTCATTTAGACGTCTTTTGCAATGCGTGTCAAAGGTAACGTAAGGTTAGTTCACACACTCGCCTTTCACTTTTAGGATCATAAGTTATTTTCCTTGACTCTGCATCGCATGATAGAGTTTCCGTAGTGATTCTTCCTTCGAGGTTTTCAGTTCTTCCTTAAAAACCCAAATACTACTCGGAATTCGGTGTGGCCATCATAGGATCAAGTTTTGGTTGAGCTTTGGATGGTTGGTTCCGCAAGAATGCGTTGACGTTTTCCTAGCTTCTGGCGTTTTCGTTCTCATTTTGCGCGTTTGCGCTTTCTTCACAAATGCATGAGTCAGAGTTGTAGCTATAGCTTACGCTTTGCTGCTTGTGCCTGCATCATTTTTAGCTGAGGGATGGCCGCTTCTAAAATGGTTTATTGTACTATAGACTTGCGCTAGGTCGCGATCGTTAACACATCCTGGGAGGCAAGCGCATGGCTTGACTCTGAGAAAATGATTCTTGTGTTCGGGGAAGCTAAGTAAGACTTAGAGCAAGTCTACTGTTGTGATTACATGGTAGTTTTAATGAACTATAAAAGATAACTCAAAGTATTCTTACAAAATTTCCATTTCTATTTGAGTGGGTTTGTTTTTCGATTTTTTTCAGTTCTTCTTTTACTTCAGAATTTAATAAGTAGTTTTATACTTTTAGGATTCTCAATTCCCTTTCTTGAGCATTCCTGTTTTCCATTCCTAGAAATGTTTTCATTCATTGCGGTGACACGAAAGAATAGATATGGCATAGTCAAGCGATTCAAATTCTTTAATCTGTGACTTCAAAGATCCTTTAATCCACATCTACCAGTTTGAATTAAAAGAGCACGGGTCATTACATCCAGCCTTGTCGAGTGGTTTGGCGCCATGCTGCCAAATCACCCGCCAACTTATCTAAACGATTTCTAATTACTTACTGGCTTTGTCTCTATCCCCTCTAAAAAATTGTGCTCTTTTCAGAATAGGTTTATAGAGATTAAGGTCTTATTCCAGTTTATATTGACGGTAAAAATAGGTTTAAGCCCATTTGGTAGTTAATGCCTTCAGGCCCAAAGCACGCCATCAAAAGAGTGTCGTCAAACGATGCGTCAAACATTAGCCAAGCTTCAGTACTCTGAAGTGTCAGGTCTATCTTGCTGAGTATATATTTATCGTTCGGCCATCAACTGTCCTTACCGTGGTTTAATTAATTTGTGTGTATAAAAGTTTTCAAATGATGTGACCTGTAAAACATTTCTTTGGCGCCCGTGGTTTTCTAATGACGGAGATCCATGATAACGACGTCTTTTACTAGTGACGTTTTCCCCCCGACTTTTTTCCCTAGAATTGTTCATGTGCGTTCTTTTAGTTTGTAGATATTACTGTTTTGTAAACTAACACAGCTAGTTACTGGATAGTAAAAAGTATTTTTTTGGAATTGTAAAAGAAAAAAAAAAAATTTATTTTTATATATTCTGAGAAACGTGTCGAAATGTTGCTTGAAGTTTAATTGCTTCCTGCGTCTAACCAACGTCGTGGAACACCATGTTTCATGTCGGTAATACACTAAATCCACTTCTCGTGTTTTGTTTACTGGTCACACTAGAGACCCAAGATTTTAAACGACCTTTGATGGTCTTCATTCGGTACTCGTAGCAACATTGATCTTCACTTGTTTAAACAAGCCGTCCAGAGGAACTTAACAAGGTATAATGAAAAAGAGACAGAGGGGTTTAAAGGTCTTTTCTATATAGTTGGCAGATGAGTTATTTACCTATCAGGTTCAGGGTCGGTCATGCCCCTAGGGACTGCTGATGCATTCTGGTTTATACCAAGCCTGAATAGCGTATCATGGTGTTATTATTTACGGCTGTCCATCAAACAACATGTTGTGGTGATCAGGATCATTGGCTTCGGTTTGCAGCTCGTTACTTGTCTCGTCCCGCGGAGGAAGAAATATATGCTATATCCGAGTCCAAAAAAGCTGTGATTCAGCATATAGAGGAAGGTATAACACGCATACCAAGCATTCCAGGATGCATTGCACCCAGTGAGCTACAGCAACATAACTTTGTACATGGAATTTAAACGTCGAGTTTGACAAGCTCTATCTATCACTGAGGAAGACAATTTGATCAAATAATAGTGCATCGAGGAAAAGGTTTCTTTCTTCGTGAAGTTGCTTTATGGATTAAACAAGTGCTGAAAAATCAAAAGATTTGTGCATTAATAAGTTTGATGTCATTTTCAATCCTACGGGGTCTGAAAGCTGATCTCCTTGCAAGAATATTTCGTGAAGGATTATAGGTGAACTTCAACAAGCCACCAGCGGAGGGCATACTAGATTCCTTGGAAAACAATTCTCCTAGCTCCATATTCATCAACCAAGCTTCAGATATCCATCGCTCAAAGATAAGGTGAGTTGAGATTGAGTTCTTGTCGTAGTTTGTACAGTGATGTTACTGTCCATGTACTTTAGCCATTACTAATTAACCAATTGTGTAACACAGCGATTTTAGTGTCATTTATTGTACCATATGTCAATGAATCCTGCTCGATTCACGAATAATGAATGTTCTAAACCTTGTTTGATCAGATTAATTATACTTTAGTGTGTAATACTTGAAGTTTGGTCGTAATATAATATATATTCGTTGGGCCTCGTATACTAGTCTTTACATAATTATTATGGCCTAAACTTTAAAGGGTCAGAAATCCTACACTCTTTCTGGTTTTCTCGGTTCTGTTCGTTATATAGTCGCAAAGAATTGACCCAACTTAATATCGATAAGCATTTTGACAAGTCTTATGCTCAAGTATTGATAGACTTTGAAAATCACATCTCGTTAAAGGTTTTATTGTGTAATTTTGAAATTAATTATGCTACAACAGCTGTTAACTGAATGTCATCCTAACTTACTCGTTTAACGTGCGACACGAGTTGTTGCACTTTTTCAGAATCTTAAAAAAATGTCTTATAAATCTAAAAGCTTTGAATTGTGAGCTTTCAATAAAGGCTCCCGTATGAAATTTTCTAGCGCTTGCATTTTTTATTGTTGAAGATCAGTAATCGTTATTGTCATAATGTGCCAATCGATTCGTCGTATTGTGCAGTCTTGCTTTACGCTTTAGCAAACCGTGAACTTTGGTCTGTTAGCTAAATTGATATTTTATTGAATTTATACAAATACGTGCAAAACGAATTAGCGCAAACATACGCAAAAAACTATGATAACTGAGTATTTTCGGAGTTAAAAATTTGAGGTGCTTCTGGAATGATATATTGACATGCAGAGAGATTGCTAATAGGTTTTCCGATTTTAGCATTGTTTACAAAGACGTGTAAAGCAATGCTTTGTTTAAAATTCTGTCGATGTTTGGTCGTAAGAAATGACGGAAATGTGTCATATATAGTCTTACGTACTCGTGGACCAAAAAAAAAAAAAAAAACCGTGGGAATTATTTATTTTACTTAATTATTTATTAAGAATCTGTTTCTGGTTTTAAAGACGTCCTAAAAACTCGACTTGTCTTGAATTTTTTGGAATATAAAACTGAAGAAGAATGCAGGTAGATAATTATTTGCCATTTAAGACTCAGCAAGGTGAAGAGATTTGAACTGGCAAGCTGAATCAAAACATCGTACGTGCTTGGAAACGATATCTTGAGTTCTTTCTCGGAATCTTTTTATTGGTAAAAATCATTGGTTAATCAAATAATTCAAAGATATTATTCCATTACAGAAGTTTGTCTTTTGTTTGACAGCTTAAAGTACATGGTTATCAAACTCAGTTTTTTTTAAAAATTCCTTAATTATTAATCTTTAATATTATCTAATAATCTGAGTGTAGGATTCCACAAAGGTACGAAATTCCGTAATAAAACCGGATATTACTGATTTATGTATGATCAAATTATTTCTTAAGATTTCATTGTTTTGAAGACGAAAAAAAAAAGCATTAAACTAAACAAGTCCAAATTAGGAGAAAATAAAGATGAAAATTAAACTAAGTGATAATATTATCATTAGGGAATGTTTATATTTTGATATATCGATGTCTGTGACCGAGTAGATTTTTCAGACATGACGCTTATCTCCGAACAGGATGTATTACAACGTATTTCAATTAAAAATTTCCAAATGGGATAATTCTTCATTTTCGAGGATCAGAAATGTGGTGATACCACATGTTTTAGGTGTTTTCTGATAAGTTTAGGCTCAAGGATTCTATATCTGGTTATTTCTAGGTTTCTAGACAGAGGAAGTGCAGTTCTGCGCAACAGACGTAAACCTTTGAGGAGAATAGTAGTCACGTGACCATGTTCTCCAAATCTACTACAAATTCTAATTTTGACATTGGTAAGTTGAGCAGTTGCAGCTTGTCACATGACTGTACGAAGTGAAGGGAGTCATTTTAGGTGGGGCGCCTAAAAAGAGTCATGAGAGGGGTCCCAGTGATGAACCTGGAAGGAATCCCAAACTAGTGCCTAAAGCTTAGTCTCCTGAGCTTTCGAAACTGATCTGTTCTTAGCTTTCTGATCTGATGTGTTGCGGGTTCGTTACAATTCCTTCTCAAACCGGTTGCCACAGGATATGAGTTTGATGAACTGGATTTAGACTCTTGTTTTTTTTTCTATTCTAGGAAATCCAAGGCCGGCAATTATCAAGAAAATGGCAAGGAGCACAATTCTTAATGTCCTAAATAAGCGTCAATCACAAGAGAAAGCTTTTACAGTCGAAAAGAAAGGTTCATCCATTCAAGAGCGAACAGCATGGCGCCCCGAACCAACAACTCGTCCAAACGAGCATGGTGGAATGAAAACAGGAACGAGGGACACCATAGGACATTCTCCTAAGGTCGTTACAAGCCCCGTCCAGAAAACGGTCCAGCAATCACCAAGGACACCTTCGACCACCGTCCAACAATTTCCAAATAAACATCAGGGATCGGTGCAAACTCGGAATTCCGATCAACCCACGAAGATTGGTGACAGACAACGAATCACGAAGCTGGTCGCAGAACCAGTTTTGTATAAGACACCGGCAAACACTTTTCAAACTCCGAACTCTCCACAATCGCCCTCTAGTATCTCAAATCTGATACACAAATGGGGGCGCAACGAGGGCTCGAAAAGCCCCGTTCAAAAGACCCCACGCAAATACACTCCGACGGGATACGATAGCTCTCCGAAAAACGCCAGCTCGCCTGGAGCCGTTGACAAGTTATCGCCCAGATCTCCCCGAAGATCGCCAGACGATACAGAGAAGGGKTTTTCGATGATAGTTCAGAGCAGCACGAGTTATCCGCCCCCTCTCCGTCGGAAATCGTCTGCTGATGTGATTCCGTATAATCTCACAGTGAATACCATTAGGATCTACGAGGCAACTCCGAAAATGGTCGAAGCAGATCCTGAACTGCTCTCACGTTTGGAAAGGTACCCAAGCAGAGAACCGCCAGTTATGTCTCCATCGTCTCGGGAGAGATTCTTATGGGAAAAAGATCAGATAACTGGAATAGAAAAGGAAAAGAGGGCAGTGGTTAGAGCAGGGTTACCTATTAAGCAAAACACCGTGGCAAATACGAAGGCAGACGTATCCAGTCCTAAACTTGTATCCGATTCGGTCCAGGTTTCGATCCCGTTTGGCGTGCCCGCATCACCCACCTCTCCACGAAACTCCGATTCGGGATCCGACTCCTGGACGTCCTCTGTCTCTGTCTGCGTGCCTTTCCAAGTTACTGAAGATGACGGCGTCAAAGCGCTTCCTGTCAAGGGTGGTACAAGACCCCAGTCCCTTCCACCTGCGGATGGCACTCTGTCAATTGAGGCACTCAGAGGACTGGGTACAAACAGTGATGCTGGGTCTTCCCCAAACTCGCCAAATCTTGAAAACCTCAGCCATCGGTATGACACCTCTTCGGAGTATGAGGATTTTATAATCGGGAAATCTCAGTCGTATAGTACCAAAGGTACCGGAGACGGGTCCCCCGGGGAGTTCTTCCACGGACCCAAACTCGTGACAGTACGTCGACGACCCGTCGAAGAGACGGTACAGAAGATTATTCAGTTCGACGACTCGTTACTTCAAGGGCAGCCAGAACATAGAGGATTAGATAAAGAAGATGGGATGAGCATGTCAAAGCATGGCAAATATTCCTTTGTCAGTCAGAAATCTGACCAAACAAGACCAGGTATTTTGTTATTAGTTATCTTTTTGTCTTGCGCAGTGTTATCGTTTAATCCAGGTATTACTGCATGTTCACTTCTGCAGTACGCTCTTCCTTCTTAGTTGTTCCTTCTGATCATGAAAACTTAAATCGAGGCTTTGCGGAAACTCTTGAGACCATTAAGAACGTTAGTTCAGTACCCAAAATAATCCTTTCGCTGTTACCAAACTTTGGACGTTCGTCCATTTCGTTACCAAACCAGACCAACTGCATGGTACTGCGACGTAGGTACCAAAACCAGACCAACTGCATGGTACTGCGACGTAGGTACCAAAACCAGACCAGAACAGACAAGGAATTGGTACAAAATTTCTTACCCTTTTTGGGTACTCAAACAAGCACCAGCTATTCGTACCCAATTCACTCGTACCTTTTACTGGTACCCAATCCAGACCAGCCATTGGCACTCAATACTCTTTATGGGTACCCAAACAAAACAAGCCAATGGCACCCAGAACTCTTTGTGGCAACCAAACAAGACCAGCAATTGGCACCCAATTTGTACCTTTTATGGGTACCCCAAGCCATACTAGCCATTGGTACCCAATCCATACCCTTTGAGTACCGAAACAAAAAAAGCCATTGACACCCAATCTGTACCCTTTGCTTTGTGTGTGCTTAAACCAGACAAAGTATTAGCACCCAATACATATCCTTCGTGAATACCCAAACCAGGCCAGGTAATGGCATACAGTCCATATCCTTCATGGATACCCAAACCAGTCCAGATAATGGCATACTGTCCTTATCCTTCGTGGGTACCGGGAACCCACACCAGACCTTTCTTGGGTGGTACTCAAACAAGACTCCTTGTTTGATACTAAACACTATTATCATTGGTACCCAAACCGTACTCGTTTTGGGTACAACCAACATTCCCTTTGAGAGTACTCAGGGAATTTCCTCCACTGTTAGCTATACTAAACTTACCAAGGTTTATGTTTGTCCACCTATAGTTCTTGTGAGTTATCTTGCGATCTGAATTTTTATACTAGCTATTTGTCACTTGAAGCTAGGCTGGACTCTAAGTATGTCTGCACTCGACATAAAAAAGCAAGCAACGAGTCACTGTCAAAACATCCAGTTGTTAGCACAGCTTTGCCCTTTTGTTTTTCTCTTTAGACAACCTTCCGAACCACGACTCTCTTCGAGATCAAAACTATAAAGACCCCCATCCTGGATACCAAGTTCAAATCCAAATCAAAGCGTAATTTCTAAAATTATCCTAATCCGCATAACGAAAAGCCGGCGCGAAAGCCAACGGATTCATTTAATCAAATTTAAACATTCCTTTCCGGAACCTATCACAACTAACACACCGGCCTGGAACGTTGTCGGTCTAGTCTATTTAGATTAACACCAATTAACCAAAACAAAGAGCTTTCCATTCCGACTAGTATTTTTAATAAGAAAACGCGGCAATGAAAGGTTTTCATTGTATAGTAACGCAATACAAGCCGGTCTAGTGTCCTTATAGGCTGAGGGCTGGTTAATGTGGCTTGTATCAAAGCTATGGGAGCCAACACATCCAAAGGTCAGTCATGATCCTCGTCGAACTACAGCTATTATAATCTTGCGCTTGTCGGGTGCCATTTTTTCGCTGGATAGCCGTTCTTCTCAAATAATGTGTTATTCATTTAGAAGAAAGGATAAAATACAATTCCAAAAAAATAATTGAATCATTCAGCTTTGTCCCCCATTTTTCAAATATTAATTTTTGGCAAAAACGTTTTTGTGTGCTGGATTTTCATTTTCATTTGCGTCAAAGTTCCTTTTCGTATTCCGCGCGCCACTTTGTGATCACTTAGTACACATCCGGCAGTATGTAATAAAAGTTCGGATCAAATGATATCGAATGAATAAGCAATTAAGTTTGTTTTAAGATTATATTATTTACATTTTTTGTATTTCTAAACGTGAACGGTTTTTAAGTAGTCCGGCTATATTTTCACTTCTCCGTGGAAGAATCAAGGAAAAGACTGCAGTGAAAGACGTTTATACTTCGTGTCAAAGAACTTTTGTATATATTTTCTTTTTTATTGTTCATTTAAGATTTGTCGGAACAGTGTACGTACTACAGATTAAATTAATATGAATTTATGTTAAGTAAACGACATTGACAAGTATATTTACTTCCTCTCGTCTTTGTACTGCATGCAAACTCTTCACCGAGGAGCTCTTTCTCCTGTCTTAGAAATGTCAAAACTGGACATTTAAGTCTTCAGCGGGCTGTCAGCTAAAGAATAGTAAGTAATATGCGTTGGAATCTCGATTGACATCTGATCTAAGTGTTTCCAAACACGGTGTAATGGTTTTTGATTGAGATTCCGAACTCGTGGATCTGTGTCCATCTGTGCTCTTCATCTACCGCCTTTGCGGTCTAATCTTTCTTGTTTTTTTCCAGCCTTGAACAGAAGATTACATCTGCTACATTTCCTCCCCTTACAATGAAATTATAAAACATTTCAGAAATTTATTCTTGCATTATTATCTGAGCCAATATCCGACTTATAAAACCATTAATTAGTCAGTGGACTAGAACATCTAGTTCACGATACGATGAGCATAACTATGATACGATGGACTAACAACTCAAATTCTGTTTCCTCAAAACTCTCTCAGACTTTACTTATGTATTTGTTGCTCGGTTGAGAAAATGAAAATGAGTTTTGTTTCTAAATCTGCCAAGTACTCCGTGACTAAGAACCAAGATTTCATTCCCGAGGGAAGTCCTTCTAGAGCAAGAAACACATATGTCAATGATGCAGGTATCTTTTATAAAAAAAAACCTTCATGTCGCGAGGAACAGCTCCAACCCGGTTTTCGGCGTCAAAACATATTGTTTTATTGCCCTATAAATGGAGATTCTTTTGAGGACTTATAAACTAAAGACAGCCGTGAATGATTATGTTTATAATAGCTTCATAGTTGGCGTCCAAGTAAACGAAAGTTCCAGAGGCGTTTGCACGAAAAACTTCTGAAAATTCCAGCTTCTTCAGTGGTGGAGTTGCCATACGCCAGTGCTTTAAACTTTTCTAACTTTTTTCCTATGTATCGTAAGCGTTGTTCCTTTATCTTAGTAGTTTTAGTATTATTTACTATGAACTTTATTTCTTATTCTTATTTGCGTATCGTGGTTTTAAAACGGTTGAATAACTTCGGCCGGACGGTGTTTTAGAATTCGTAGTACAGTCATCTTGTAAATACTTTTATTGTTTGTTAAGAGCTTGTATTCAAATGAATACCAAACAAAACGAGCAACTATTTGTTGTCCAGTTTGAAGCCTCAAAAAGAAAGTTCTAATACTGACTCTTAAAACACTAAAAGCCAACTTTATATTTTATATTTAACAGCTCATTGTTTATAGCGTCTGCCAATAATTAAATGTCTTCCTTTTTGGTTTTTGCATATTTTCCCTAGAGTTACTCCCAAACAGTCAAAGATATTCAAATACGAAAAAAGCCATTTAGTTTGCAAAGAAGCCAGTTTAAGTGGAATATAAATTCATAATCACAGACACCTCATTAATCAATTTTCAAGTATTCTACGACTTTCCCTTAGTATTTATGAACTGATTTAATCCATTTTTACCCCCAGAAACTCCCGACAAATCTTCCGTTGTAGCAAAGTCACATCTGGATAAACCCACAAGTTCAACCACTCCTTCCTCGCCAGGCACGCGTCGTGCGCAAAGGTAAATATATTATCATATTATCAATAAAAATATTTCCACACAATCAGATATTCTCTCCGACCTTGGCATAATTTTTTTAGCCTTGCTTACTCTGTGAAATATTAGAGTATTACGTGTTAAGCATGGTATTGGTATCAGCTGTTCTTTTGTCTTGTCACCTCGCTGTAGTTATATTTAGGGGCGGATGACATCATTGGGCGTCATGTAATAGCCCATGGATCGGGTGTTGATATCATTGACGTGGTCTAGTCATGTAGCTCATTGGGAGCGGCATGAAATCTTGGGGTCAAAAATCACGCTATGAAAGGAATGAAAACACTAGAGCAAATGACGCATGACTGTGAAATACGGAATGGACGACATCTGTTTAACCAATAACAGCACGCGAGGTCACTTATCCTGCACTTATTATGCACAGATACGGTACTATCACGGTCACAGTACGGAATACACATCTATTTAACTAATAACAGCACGCGAGGTCACTTATCATCCAAGGAGAATGCACAGATACGGTACCGTCACGGTCACGGTACGGAATAGACGACATCTATTTAACCAATCACAGTGCGCGATGTTACTTATATCATCCAATGAGAATGCTCATTGTCACGGCACGTTTGTATTGTGTTGTTTCATGCAAAATCTACTTTAGAATTCCAGAATTCAAAAAATTATGTTATTTAATTTGCTTGCGCGCGGCTTGATATACACAACACTTGTCGATGAATTTGTAGCTTTAGAACTGGTCTTATACTCGTGCACTGATACTAAACAGGGCATGGCTGCTATGCGCAAATATCAGATAATAGCATATTCAAACCTTACGATCAGCGTGAAGCTGAGTAAAAAGGTGAAGTGATACTTAATAAACGTTCGCGCATAAGCCAGTACTTCCCGCAAATTTTCTTCAACATTTATTCTGAACTATTTGCGCGGCGGCCAATCTCACGGGTTACAGTTCTGTTATATTTATATTATAAGTTAATAATTTGCATGTTCAATAAATACTTATTCTAATGCATGACTTAACGATGCGTGCGCTTAGGAAATTGTGCTGAAATACTAATCTCTGTCTAAGCATTTCTGTGTTATATTTTTATTATTTGTTAATTGTCCGAAAACTGAATCTTTGACTCTTTGTTATCATTTCATTTAGTCACCTACCGCAAAAGACTTCGACTTTACCAACCACAGGTAAATCATGTTGATTAATGTTGTTAGAGAGGAACAAACGGACGAACAGACTGACAGACGCCTCGTACAAACGGACGAGGAACGAACAGGCGAACGAACGGCGGACAGACGGACTGGTTTCGGGTTGGGGGAGGACGAAGCGAACGCATAAAAAATCGTCAAATACAAACCATTTGCGTGTGTAATAGACCCCTTGTATGTGATTTCAAAGCAGTTCAATTTGGAGGACAAAACAAAAGAATTTCCGTCTCCTGAGAATTGGAAACCTATTGGTATGTCGTCCAAATTGGTCTATACAGAAGTTCATAACTATAGTTATGAACTTCTGGTCTACACCTTTCCATGTAATAATAAAAAATGATATTTTACGTTCAGGTAAGGCTATCAAGAAGGACGAGATCGAGATGTTGAAAGCCAGAATAAGACAATTAGAAGAAGAACTAGAACAAGAGAGAAAAAGACAAGGACCAAGCGAGAGAATCTTGGCTTCCATTCCAATACTTGAAAAGGAAAAACTACGCTTGCAGGCTCAAGTGAACGAAACTTTACAAGAACTTTCCAAGGCAAAAGAACAGTTACACTCAGCTACATATGTTTCCAATAAACACGAAGCTGAAAAGGATATACTTCAAGTAAAATATAATAAATTACAAAAGGATCAAGACAGAATTAAAGCACAAAATGAAGTCCTGGAATACGAGAGGGACCAGCTTCTTCGGGAGAAAAAGAATAGAGAAAATCGAGCCAACGAGGACGAGAAAGATCACGAAGCAAATCTTATTACGATTCAAACACTTTCGAAACAAAACGACGAGTTACTTGAATCCGAATCTAAGCTAAAAGAACGCATTTGTATATTAGTGAAAGGACTCCGTGAAGTGAAGGAATCTGTGATGAACGTACGAGAGGAGAATGTGTTACTTCATGATGAGATTGTCGACAATGGTGTAGCTATGTCCGAGACGATGAAAAAATGTGTACAAGGTCTTCAGCAAGTCATTGGAAAAGTGAATAGTGGGGGTGAGAACAAGAGCGAGAAGGGTGACAGTAATGATAACGAAGAGATTGCGCGATTAAAGGAAGAACTCGAGGACAGTAAGACGTGCTTTCATGCACTTTTGCAGCGGGTTATTGAACTTGAAAGTGGCGAAGGCAAATCAGGTGATGGCGAAGAGGCGAAGAGTAATCACCGAGTGAACTACGTTGGGTGCCCTAACTGTGCGAAACTTCAGGAAGAATTGAGAGAGCTTAGTTCGCAGTACGAGGAAATGCAACAAGAGTTAGAAAAAATTGAGATCAAACATGAGGAGATGAGCAATGACAACGAAGACTTGCAACAAGAAGTGAAATACCTAAAAAAAGTTCTCTCCTATCGCACAGATGTCATGCAAGTACAAGTGTCGGAGAGAACGACTCGTCAGATGCAGAGGTTAGAGACGAACCTAGAAGAAGCGGAGCGCAAATGCAAAGACTTGGAGGATGAAGTTGGTCGATTGCATAACCAGAAACAATCGTTACTCGTAAATATCTTAAAACTGCATGAAGAAGAGGTGGCGGCAGCACAGAATGGAGAGGAACCACATGAAGATGAGGAGGAGGACGAAGGAAGTGATGATGATGGCATGAGTGACGATGATAATGGAAGATTGTCTTTAAATCGATCGAAATCAAGCGGAAAAAGATCCGTTTATGGGAACAGCGAAGCGGAGTTCAGCTCTGGGGCGAGTTTTTATGAGAGCGAGAGCGAGAGTGAAAGCGATGAGTGGAGCGAACTTGACGATACATCACAAAGATTACAGGACTATGTCAAAGGGATTGTATCTGAGAGAAAACGTTTGCGATCAAACATCAAGGAACTCATGGCTGAGAAACGTAATTTGAACAAACGAGTTGATAAGTCGTCTAATGACTTCAAGTCAGTTATGAAGAGAATGCAAAAACTCGATGCAGAAAATGTCACGCTGAGAGAAAAGGTGAAAAAGGAACGAAGAGATTTAAAAGCCAAGTTGAAGAAAGAAGAACAAGAGGCGGAGAGGTTGCGAGAGAAGCTGAAAGAAACAGAAAGTGAGAAGGATGCTTTGATGAAGTGTATTGAGATGAGGAGTGCAAGTGAACCAGCAGAAGCTGTAGACACAACAGAGGAGTTAGACGTGGATGATGTGAGCAGATTGATCGCCAAGGCACAGGCGTTTGCTCTTGAGGAGAAAAGTAAGAGTGATGAAGCTAGTGAGGAATCGGAGGAAGAGGAAACTGATGGAAAGGACGAAGCAGACGAAGAAGAAGAAGACAAGAAGGAGGAGGAGGAGGAGAGCGAAGAGGGAAGCTCGTCTAGTAGTGAAGAAGAAGAGATACTCCCAATACTTAAAAGTATGGTATTTTCATTATATTGCAGCTTGCGAAAAAGGAGTGGATTTATGGGAGGTACTTTTTAATTGGTGGTGGAGGTTGGGAGGGGGGGGGGGGGTAGGGGGATAAGATCTTGGGGATTCGCAATAAACTTTTGAAAAATGGTTGTGGCCCTCACCCAGTAAGAAATTAAGTGAACAAGTAAACAGTTTTTGGCAAAATAAAAGGTTTGACCCTCCACAGTAGTTTTTATTGACCCTCCCCTCTGAAGCCCCACCCCTCCCCCCCATAAAAAACGTACCTTCCCTTAATTGGTATGATGCACAAACAAGCATTGAAATACCACTGATATATTTTCTTTTATCGTTTCCAGTGAGCAGACCAAGGGCCAAACCACAACCAGTTGACGAGGAGGAAGGAAAAAGTGACAGCGATGAAGAACGTAAGAGGAAAGAAGAACAAGAACGAAAGGACGAAGAGAATGACATCGTGAAAGACGAGATGGATGATTTCATCAAATCCCCGCCACCACCACCTCACGCGCGCTTGCTGCAAAGAAGAGCATCAACTATAGGAATCAATATGGACCGCGTCAGTCGTGAGAAACAACACTTAGAAGAAGAAGTGGCGAGTCTTAAGAAGTACTTGAACAGGAGCGCATTTCGCCGGAGGTACTCTACGGTAGAGACCCCTAAGACACCTCCACTAGGAGCCATGAAGACCCTAGAATCTCTCTTACAGAAGTCCGACATGGAACTGAAGGAGGCCAACGACAAGATCTCAAGGCTCCAGTCAACTAACGCGGACTTGGAGGAAAGAATAAAGGACTTGGAGCTCATGCATGATGATCTACGCCAAGCCGTCGTGATCTCGAACAACTACGCCGCAGAGGAAAGAGAGAAGAACACGGCTCTAGAGGAAGAGAGAGACCAGCTGCTACAAAAGATAGAGCTCTTGAAAAAAGAGAACAGTCGTTTAAAGAAGTCGCGTGCGATAAATGCCGTCTACCGCAAAGGAACCCGATCTGTTAAATCAATGTCAGCCAATGAGGAAGACGTGCCGGATAGCGACGGTGCTGATATTGAATCGGATTTTTCTTCGTCGAGGAGATCAAGCAATGCGAGTGACATTTGACACGAGTGACTTCAATAGATGAAATAGTAGAACTCGCTATAATATCATGGGTCGGGTGGGTGAGCTGAAATGTGACACAAAATCGGAATTCCGCAAAGTGCGCATGCGCATACTCAATATTAGATTTCGTGCGACTCTAAAACACTTACGGACAAAGCCTCTTTACCTTGAACGTATCGAAGCACTGTTATTGAACCATCAATCAGCTTGAAGGCTGAAATTTGTCTATTGAAGCATCATGATGCTGCACATTAATACAGAAACTATTCTAGGATTTTTTTAAAGTGAACAAAAAGTTAAAGGATAACGTTTTCCCATTTTAGACCATTGTCTGAGTATTATTTCATTTCAGACCATGTGTCATTCCCTATACCAGTATTTCTTTGTTTAATGGTGACACATGAGAATATGGTGCAACTTAACAATGCCAATCTTATTCTTAAGAGACACATGGTCTTAAATGGGAAAATGATATATTGTCTACATGAAGCTAGTCTCCCTCGCATCCGTTTTTAGTGTCGTCACGCAACACGTGACCGACACTAAAAGCGGATGCGAGGGAGGCTAACATGAAGCAGACATACTTCATATGAGGGGTTGTGTACAATCAGTGCCAACCATTTCCCACTCACATCGAATTTGCTTTCCACACAAGCAAATTAGTAATTTCAGTCTCCTTTCCTTACCACCCAAAACTTGAATGAGCAAACTTAATACACTCAGTTCTGATGGTGTACTAAAATCGAAAGAGTTAGCCACTCATGAGCCTTTAAAATCTTAATGTATCACTTTTCTTTATATAAAAAGTGAAGTATTTTACATCCTTAGTTTTTTATGTAAATAAATAAGATTATTTTTATTTCATGGGCAAAAGAACCCAAGGATTAATGACAATTTTTGTATCTTGAAATTCAATGTATTTGAAATATATTTCTTATGATAAATAATTGAGGTCATATATTCAGGCTTGCAAAGCTGGCACCTAACACACCCCTGGACTCCACCCTGCAAATGGACATCTGATTACTCCCCTGGACTCCACCCTGCAAATGGGCAACAGATACACACACCCCTGGACTCAACCCTGTAAATGGGGCATCTGATTACCCCCCTGGACTCCACCCTGCAAATGGGGCATCTGATACACCCCTGGACTCCACCCTCCAAATGGGGCATCTGATACACCCCTGCACTCCACCCCGTAAATGGGGCATCTGATACACYCCTGCACTCCACCCTGTAAATGGGGCATCTGATTACCCCCCTGGACTTCACCCTGTAAATGGGGCATCTAATACACCCCTGCCTCCACAAGCCTCTAGAAACCAATAAAGTACTTAAAGGCAGTAACAAAAATGCTGTTTATTCTCCATTACTTATTGAGTTCTTTTAAATATACAACCACAGACTGGCTAGCAAGGTAGATGGACCTGCTAATGCTTCAATGTCAAACAATATTTTCACTTAAAATAACATCTACATTGATTGATTGTCCGATATATAATCCAATCTAGGTTTTATTGCTTGCTCCTGATTAACACAAGTCAAAATGTTTTGTTTTCACTCTACATGTTTTTTCATGTTTGTAAAAGTGGCGCTGCTTGGTAAGTTCTTGCACACCAAAGTAAAGTTACTCTATTGTATCAAGACCTAAGTTTGGATTGAATTAGTCTCCTAAAAAACAGAAAAACTCAACCAATTTTCAAAGCTTCCACACAATCGTTGTGTCTATTATTTATACAAACACAATGTATATATAACTTATGCATCTATACATATAGTGTCTATACAGTGTATTTCAATAATGATATCTACATCTATACAAATACAATGCATTTATTATATAATTACCAATGAAATATCTATTTTTCTCTATTTCGAAAAATTGATATCTTCACACGTGAAAATAACGTTATTTTCACGTGTGAAAATAACACCATTGCGATGGCTATTCAAAAATACACGAAAAGAATTGCCTGAAAAAGCCAAAACATACTTTCATTGATAATTACATAATAAACAGAATATTACATGGGCGCTTGGAGATACGAAATTTATCTTCTCGTGTTGAAAATCTCTCACTCGTTCGCTGCGCTCACTTGTGAGAGATCTTTTCAACACTCGAAGATAAATTTCGTATCTCCGCGCGCCCATGTAATATCCTCTATGTATTATGCTTTATACGTACATGCTAAGGGGTTTCATATGTGAAATTTCTAGTAAATAATTGAGGCATTCAGAACAACTGCAACAGATCACAAGGGAATGACGAGCCATCTCAAAAAGGTCGTAATGGATTAGTTTCCTTTACAGCCCTTATTTGTGTCGTTATTCTACTAAGTGTTTTGAATGTTGCTAGTTAAAGAGCATTCCATGGCCATTGTTACAAACATCATCCCTGGTTAGATACGAGGGTAAAATAACAACTCGGCATCATAAATGTCCAGCCAGAATTGGCATTTATCCTGTCAAATCTTTGAAAGTCATTTTGATCAGTAAAGCATCTTTCATTAGGTCTCACATGGCAATTGTGTCTTTGTTATTTGACTCTCTTGGGAGCACTTGCAAATCATTATTTTCAGCAGTACATTAATACCTCGGTATATTTGGGCCTTAATCTCTATATTTCATTCAAATTTCAATTCCATTTTTTCCTTCAAAATAGAATTCTATAACTGTTACATTAAAACAAATATGACCTATTGGTAAATACAAAAAAATATTAACTTAGTTTAGAATCAAAAAATTCAAGTTTGACTACTAATAATGGTATTAATGAATGACTCCCCAGAATTCCTGAGTACTCTTTTCACTCAGACCTCAACTTAAGGTAAAGATCTGTGTTGCTCTGCAAACATTTCTTTCTCTGTGACCACTGCATTTTCTCCTTGTAGGTCCTCTATATTTAGTTTGTGTGCTTCCCTCTGAAGCTACAGGCATTTATTAGCACCTTTTTCCTATTCTGTCTGCTCTGTGTTATCTCAGGACCTCCAAATTTAGCTGTTCCTTCTGCAACCACTTGCAAAAATGAACTGTTCTTTCCTTTCTCTGTCTTCTCAGACCTCTTACTTTTGCACTTGTTAGTATGCTGATTTAAATAGCTAAATGGCTGAGCCACAATGGAAGGGATACTGTTTCATCTAGGTACATATATAGGTACTTGCATCGTAACTGTGTATATCTTGGATACCCCTTATAGCTTTGTTAGGGGTACATGCTAAAAAGCTCTAATGTCTATTCCATTTTTTTTTCATCTGTTTATAACCAGATTGTAATCTGTAGCCTGAACAGTCCTCCAAGGTCTATTTGACTTCCACTTCAGACATACATGCTAATCTTATACTTGCCTCCTATAATAGTACACAGAAAAACAAGTTAGTACTAATGAAATATTAAAGAAATATGGCTTGTTTTAGTTTGGCATAATGTTTTCCATCTCAGCAGGGCCGTAACCAGAACTTTTACAGGGAGGGTGCACATCGAATAAAATCGGACCATTGATCGTTTTTTTTAAGAAAGCAGAACAAAAAAAAAAAAAAAAACATGGCCAAAAGAAAGCAGAACCAAAAAAAAAAAAATGTAACCAGAAGAAAGCAGAACCAAAAAAAAAGGAGATGGATGAGCAGACCTTAAGCTTTTATGGGGGAGTGCACGTGCACCCTGTGCTCCCCCCTAGTTACGGCCCTGCTCAGACCACTTCGATAATAATATTCTTTCTTATTGAGCATAATTTCTGGTAAAGAAATGCAACTAGAAAAAAAAAAGAGAAATGCATAAATGGGAAATGAGATGATGTACTGAACTTACCCAAGCACCTAACAGAGAAGTGACTGAATAAAATCCCGGCATTCTTCTCAACTCTGACAGTAATTGACTACGAATCTTGAGAAGAAATGGTGTTGTCTCTGTGAATTGAGAAAGCATGACAATACCATCAAACTTTGATTAGAGCTATCTTTATATAATTATTGATATACAATGTAATACTTACCATATGCATTAGCATTGCATCCTGGACTAGAATGCGGGTAGTTTTGCGGTACTGAAATCTCTATTGGTGGAACGGCAGGCAGAAATTCATCATCTGGAACAACAGGGTTTTTTATTACCAATATTCTTTGAAAATTCATATGAGGGTTTTTAATCTTTCATTTTATTGAACCCTGAAACAACCTCTGGGCTTATTTTAGACAGGGCACAGATAACTTACAGATCAAACCATGGAACAACCTCTGGGCTGATCTTAGACAGGGCACAGCTATTACTCACAGATCAAACCCTGAAACAACCTCAAAGCTGATCTAAGTCAAGGCATGGCTAACTCACAGATCAAACATGGCTAACTCACAACCCTAATTTATCTTGGTAGCTTTTGTCAAGGAAGGAAAACCATAGGATTTAAAGAGAAACACCAACATATTCAGACAGTTTACTTCTATTTTAAAAAACTGAAGCTTTGTTCCCCACCCCACCCGCTCCAGTTTTCACTAAATCCAAGCCTAGGTTTCCTGTGGAAAAAGGAAAGAATTACTGTACTTACGTATGGAACACCTAAGTAAAGTAGACCTCTGGCTATTACCAGTGTAGATCTCTGGTTTGATGGTGAAGCGATCACAAAGTCTTGCCAGTTCACCTTGAAGAGTGTGTGGTAGAGAGCACTTCTTCTGGGTCACTTGAGTCAGGCGTATCTTCTTCGTGGGTGGTGGGGGAGGGCTGGAAGGAGTATGATGTTTAATATTATCAGTAGACTCAGTATTAACACACTACACTACACTACATCATCCAATACTATGGCACTCTGTACCACATTACATCC